ACCGCAACTACCAAATGGAACGCCAAGATAAAGGCGCAGATATTGTACTTGTCGCAAGTGAACCGCTGACGTTTGAGAGAGGTACGTGTTGAGAGTTGGGTAATGTGGTGTTTGGGCCATTGCTAATTGGAACAGAGAATTGGGTCAACGTTCCCACAAACTCGATCCTGACAATTCACAACCAAACTGTCATGGTTCATCCGATTATCGACAAGTACTACGATCGAAGCCCGTACCACGCCAGATCAAGCGCTTTTGTTCAGACGAAGGGACTCATGGCGAACGAGAAGATTTCGTCACTACTCAGCCCAGCAGCGACGTCGTTGCCAGCCCCTGATACTGCAAAAAAATGTCTTGGGCCGACTATCCCTTTCAGCGTTTCTCGTGGCCACACCCCTGAGCCTACCAATGTTGGCAAATCCCGGCCACACAGCCAACTTCACGAGGTATCAACACCAGCAGACTCCAGGTCTATCATGACCTTCTCAAGCGCGCAAACCAGCACGTCAAAGCCTCCGGTTCAGGGAAATATCAAGGTGAAACGGGCGGCGCTAGAGCAGGCTGCTCCCAGTACCGATAGCGATACAGACTCTCTGCTACCTGCGGAGGACCAGGCGCAGAGCAGGACAGAATTTGGCCATCCTAATAAGTTGTCAAGATTCTTCCCCGAGTTGACCATGACCTAGCGAGAGGAAGTCATGTGCGCCCTGAGGAAAGGACATCAATCAAAGAATTCGACCGGATACCCGCCTCGACACAGGCCAGCCACCTTGACATGTGAACGGGTTCAGAAAGCCGGCAAAGCAACCGCATTAACAAATCAATTCAGCAACTTAAGAAAATAAGAAGCAAAAGCTCAGCTCCCCTCGCAAGGGGCTTACGAAAGCCCCGGAGACTCTTACCAGCCTCAGGTGTTGCGATGCAAGGATTTATCACGAGACTCGAACTCGTGCTCCATGGGAGGCAAACGTGGAAGCTCATGACTCCCAGGAAGAGCCATACGTGCGCCTCGTCGCTGTGTCCACTGTATTAGTACTATTTGTGATTACAAATGGGTAGGGTGTATTGGAGTTTGTTTCTGCATTTACTACCTAGGTTGCTAGATCCGCTATCTAGAAGGAAGAAATCTATTAAGAAACCAAAATATCTATAAGCTCGGACTGTGACAGGCTGCGAAATCACACCACCTCACGTTGCTCGTTTTTCGACTGAACAGCTATAAAGCATTCGATCCTCTGGAGCTTGCAGCTCAGAATGCCGAAAATGAGGTCCGATTTAACGCATCATGCATTTCGCCTATCATTTTGTTAGGGATTGAACGGGGCACGAGTAGTCTCGCTCCACACGGGTTGGACTACCCCAGAGACTCGGACACTCGGACTAGTCCCTAAATCGCAGCCAAGCACGCCATCTCGTGGGTCATCGATGTTGAATGAATACTATGCTTATATACGGCTCGAGCAGCAACGCCGTTTGGCATTTGGTAACGCAGATAGATGCTATAAGTGTAGATTTTGCTAATTTTGAAATCCCGGAATATCATGTTTGGAGTGACAATGCTGATGCGTCGGTTTTGAGATCTTGATGTAGGCAAAGTTTCATGCTCTAGACTAGAATGACAGAGTCTATTGGCAGACGGATGTGACGCTGGACGACTTTGTGTCGAAGTTGACCCTATCTGCTGGGCCAGATCATTAAGATAGCAATCGAGTGTCAAATGCCTGCAAATGGAAGATCAGCACTTGACGAAATGGTTGCCTCCTATTTTCCCTAGCGAAATCGCAGAGATGTTACTTTATATAGCTTCCATGTCCGGGTGCGGGAATAAGGTAAGCCGCTAGGGATCTTATCTTGAAACTGATAAAGCCATCACCACTCTCCCTCCGCCCTGCACAAGTGACTTGGATTAGGTACATCTTCTGATGTGACCATCTCATCGACTCACTCGCATAGATCAGAGGAGCAATTTCTCGTCAACCCATATTTAGACAATCACAAATGGCCTCGCCAACATGCTTCTTCCTAGAACTACCTTGCGAGATTCGTCTTGACATCTACGCCCTTCTTCTTCTCATTCACCCTCCCTTAGATAAAGTCAACACATCCTCGCCGCAAGCACGGCTCCATCCCGCAATCCTCTCCACAAACCGGCAAATCCATACAGAGGGGACGCCCATTCTCTACGGCAGCAACATATTCCTCGCGCACGCCAAGCTCCTCGCCTCCTTTCCGCGCCTACGGCCGTGGTACCCGCCCGTCCGGGAACGCTCCGTGCTTCCGCGCATCCACCGCTTCCACGTCCGGCTGCGGCTGGACTGCGACCCGGCGTTTGATGCCGCGGCCGCTACGGCGGCCTTCAGCGGCGTGGATGAGCTCGTCGTCGAGGTGTGGCAGGCCGCTTTCCAGAGTGCGGACCATGGTGCGCTGCGGGTGTTTGAGGGGGTCCGGGCAGTCAAGACTGTCAGGATCTATGGGAGCATCACAGGATTTGAGGACTATGTAAGCTGGCTCGAAGGTGTGATACGCTGTGGCGATGGGCTCGAGGGCCCTAAGGACACTACTCATGTCGGGACGATGCCATCTCAAAGTCAAGTCCCGTAAGTTTCATTGAATACTATGGGGGTTTGTGGCTTCTCAGTTCCCATCACCAGGAGTTCAGAGTTCTCAAAGCAGCTGAACAGCCTGAGGCATTGTGCAACCAACAAGCTCCCATGCATTCAGGAAGCTTCAGTCAGACGAAATTGAGTCTTCCGTACCATATGGATTCATCGGGTCGCACAACGTTTGTATGACTGAATATTTCCAAGCTAGCACGCATCAAACATGCCCAGGACCTCATTATTGTGTGGCGGTCGGGCTCTCGTCAATGGCGACATCACACCCCGCGGTGACAACACTGGACTCCACTCCGCGCTCGCACCTGCTCCTCCACAGGTCCCCTGACGTCCAGCTGTAGTGGATCACAGGGACGATGGTTGGAATGGATGAGGCCCCTTGGCTCCGCCTATCACAGCAACCTCGTTACCGGCCTCCTGGTCACTTGGGCCGCACCCCGCCGCCCAGAGTGATTTCTGCTGGGCCCTTTTTTACGGTGCTGGTGGGGCCGCTGACCTCGGGACCGCTGGCCTGTCGGTACCTGCGCCGAAATAGCGCAGCAAAGACGCTAACCCTCATACGGTCGGTCTCATGTCGCAATCCTGCGCACCGGGCGAATAGCTCATTTGCAACTTTCTTGCGACCTTCCCCTCCAGTCGCAGCACGTCAAAACTCCTTCCTCCAGCATTCGAACCCAACGACTGGAGGTTTTGCTGGCTGAATACCTCGACGAAAGGTTTCGGCGAGAAGGGAACGCAAGAAGGCTCATAAAACAGGATTCGGTCGTCTCTCTAACTTCAGTAAACTCCGCTCAGCCTCGGTTTCAATATCTACAGTTGAAATGGCGTTCGAATTTCTCCCTTTCCTATCCGCCGTCTTTGGCTGGATTTACTTTCTCTGCTGGTCCGGCTCTTTCTACCCGCAGCCTCTCCTTAATTTCCACAGGAAGACCACAGCCGGCACAACGGTTGACTTTCCCTTGATCAACTGCCTAGGTAAGAAGAATCCAGAACACCACGTAGATCACAGGAGAAAACACTCTGCGGGTACAGCGCTGACACTCCGACTCCCGCAGGCTTCCTCGCCTACTTTGTCTCCAACGCCGCATTCTACTACTCCCCCGTCGTCCGCGCCCAGTATGCCGCGCGCAACCACGGCCTCACCCCGACAGTCGCCTTCAACGACATCACCTTCGCCGCCCACGCCCTCCTACTCTCCTGCATAACCACCTCGCAGTACGTCCCTAAGCTCTGGGGCTTCACCCCCGCCCCGGGCACGAACCCGAGCCGCTTCATCTCGGGCATCGCCTCGGGCTGCATCGTGGGCGTCGCCGTCGTCGGCCTCATCGTCGCGTCCGCCCCGGGCGACGGCGACCCCGTCACGAGCTGGTGCGCCCTCGACGTCGTCTACGCCGTGTCCTACGTCAAGCTCGTCATCACCCTCATCAAGTACACCCCGCAGGTCATTACAAACTACCGCAACAAGTCCACAAAGGGCTGGTCCATCTGGCAGATCCTGCTCGACTTCTCCGGCGGCCTCCTCTCTGTTGCGCAGCAGGCAATCGACTCGTACCTCCAGCGCGACTGGTCCGGCATCACCGGTAACCCTGTCAAATTCGCGCTGGGCAATGTTTCCATGGTGTACGACTTGGTCTTCATGACCCAGCATTATGTCTTGTACCGCGGCTCTGACGGCAAGGCCGACGAGAGGGATTCGCTTCTCCGTGCAGACGATGAGGAGCATCAAAGACTAGACTAGAAGCAGAGTAGACTCGTCGTATATGCACACATATGGCTTGGAATACACTTGAATTTTGATGCAGTACACCAGTATGAGAATGGAAACCTTGCAGATCTTCAAGCTCAATGCTTTGCTATCTTTGCTCAGACATCCAAGCCTGGCAGGTTGTCAGGTTGGCATTGTGACCACGTCTCAAGACATCTCAGTATGGACAAAAGCCGTTTGAAGACCTTCTAGATAGTCTAAGATGAAAATCTAGCAAATCTGAGAATTCTACCACTACGGTCTGTACCTTACACATTGTATCCATGACATGTGACTCTCTCGAGTCGAGACGTAAAACTGAAAAAGTATAAAATTGAGGAATTGCATCGAATCCCTTTGTATGCCTGCCCTTGAACGCCGTCGAGGGGATATGCAAATCTCTCAACCTCCATCTCTCTGCCGTAGTCGAAGAGAAGCCTCCCCTTCACGCAGCTTCTTCTTGAATGACTCGCTTTGAGAAAAAGGGTGTCGTCATCGCTGTCTTTGATTCATTCTTCTAGAACTTTTGTATTCCCCAGCCGTATATGCGATTTCTTCCCATTTGTGACTCTGGGGTTCTTTGTTTCTCATCCAGACAGGCACTGAGGCTCTCTCTGGCTATTCAAATCCGTTCCAAGCGCTCATGAAGAGGCGTTTCCGTTCGTCTGCATGAAGGCAGGAAGCTTCTTCCAACTCTCTTGGCTAGGGACCTTGACCTTTCCAAAGTCCTCATCAATATCCAAGATGATCTTGAGCGCGTTGCGGCTGCGGGCAAAGGGGCTAGTGTCGAGCTTCTCCTTCAGGGTAGAGATGGCATCGCCAACACCGGTGTGAACCTTGGAGCTCTCAGGCTTGCCGGGATAAGGGATGACGTTCTGCAGAACCTCGTAGGCGGCAAGAGTGAAACCGAACTGCGGGGAAGAACGGAAGATTCTGGCAGGGCCGCCCTTGAAGAAGGCGCGGAAGCCCTCCTCCTTCCAGATAGTCTTGGCAGCATGACGGAGACCAGTGTAGGTAGCCTCGCCCTTGCGAGCCTCGACCTGAAGGCGAGTCTTGATAACGTCGCACGGGGTGGTGAGGTAGGCAGCGGGCATACCAGCAATGGCACCAGCAGTAAGCAGCTGGACAACGCCCAACTTCTTTGTTGGAGACTCGCCAAAGAGATCCTTCTTCAAGTGGCTGTAGGTAGGGAAGTAGATGGCCGAGAAGGGAACATCACGCAACAGGCACGCGGAGGCACCCTTATAGAGACCAACGAGACCCAAGTTGCGCACAATCCACATAGCCGACCTCTTAGGGGCACCCTCGACAGTCTTGGCGACCTCACCCTGGACCTGTAGACGAATCTTAACAATCTCGAGGGGGTTCGTGAAGACCTGTGAAAAACGATATTAGCTTCTGTCACTCATTTTCATATTACACTACACTGCAGTGAAGGAGAAAGTCTACTTACGACTTGGCATGCACCAGCAGTACCACCAGCAAGGATTTCATGGCCAGTCCAGATCTTGCCCTCCTTGTTGGTGAAGTATGTACGCACAATGTCGTTCACCGTCAGCTTAATGGCCTTCTCTGGCGCAACACCAATAAGCTGGGGCACAACACCCGAGTAGAGGCCTCGGGGTCCCTCGTTTCTCCACACCTTCTGGAAGCAATCGATCGAGTTCTTATACAATCTTTCTCCTGGTCTGGCGCTTCTTTGGTTCTGGAGACGGGTCTTGACAAGGTCAATGGGGTAGACCATGAAAGCTCCGAAGGCACCTGCCAAACTACCGAGACCAAAGTTGTATGCGGATTCGAGGATCGACGCGAGAACAGCCTTGGAAGCTCCAGCGCCCTTGGCAAGAACCTGGGAAGCAGCATCGTCGGCCTCATAGGCAGCGTTTCTCCATGATGGGTCGAGGACCTTGGCAAAGTCGCCGAGGCCAAGGCGACCAGAGGGCTCGTCAAGGCTGGCGAAGTGGAAGAGAATGTCGGCTTCCATGGGGGTGAAGAGGGAGAAGCGAGTGATCTTGGCGGCCTGGTTAAGGAATTCTGTCCTTGTGATCTTGCCGTCGGAACTCTTGGCGCAAGCACGGCGCACGATGAGCTCAACCAGATCAATCTCCTTAATCATGTTCTGGAAGGCGCGAACGTTGGCATAGGAAACCTTGCTTCCGAGCGAGATGTTGCAAAGAGTTGACAGATTCTCGAGAAGGTGGTCAGAGAGCTTGTGCTTGGAAGTCTCGCGAATGATGCGCTCAAAGTCCTCGGGGTCAATGAATCCATCGCCATCCTTGTCGAATAGCTGGAAAGCCTGGCGGATGCGCTCGCCCTGCAGACCACGCAGCATCTGGGAGAATTGAGGGTAGTCCATGTGGTGGCGCTTCTTCTTGCTACCAATGTACAACTTGGCCCATTCGCACTCCCAGTCAAAGGGAATGCTGTCGGGGCCCTTGTTGAGCTCATAGAGCTTTCGGAAGTCCTCGTACTTGACATTGCCGGTTCTATCGACGTCGAAGAGGCGGAAGGCGATCTCGTACTCGGCATCGGGCTTGATCAGGAGGTTCTCAAAGGCGGCCCACTCGGAGAGGGTGATCTTGCCGGAACCCTTGCGGTCGGCGATGCCGAAGAGAATTCCGTACTGCTCCCGCTTGATTTTGTGCTGCGGCGTTGGGTTGTAGAGTCAGTAAAATGGATCGAGTGGTTCATCGGAGGGATATCGGAGCTGGGTTGTGCTCCCGCAGCAAAGACAAGTCGGAAGAGCACAAGGTGAGGTTAGAGTGAAAAATCGGACTTACGAAGTCTTCATCCTCGGGCGCAACAGCCTTGGTGAACTCGTCAGGGCCCATGTAGAGCTCTCCTGACGCCTCATCCTTGACAGCATTGGCAACGAATCTCGCCTTGGTCTGCGCAGACAGCTGGACGGGCTCCTCGGCGCCAAGGAGGCTCTCCTTGACAGCCTCCTTGACGGCAGCTGCTTTGCTCATCTTGGGCGACTATTGCAATTGAGCTTGTGTGGACGAGGGAAGGTTTATTGGAGTGCAAGCGCACAGAAGAAATGGTTCGAGAGCTGTCACTTCCTGGGCCCTGTGTAGGAGAAGAGGAGAAGGAGCGCTCGGTGAGGTGAGGTGACTGTGGCCCTCGAGTGGGTTGTGGGTTGAGTGGACCTGGATGCTCTTGCCGCTTGCGCGACGGAGTCTGGTGGCAGGTGCGAACGCGATGAGATTGGCCTTTAGCCGACGTGGGCCTAGCTGGAGATGGGGAAGGAGCCGTTGGCACTTGTGCTTCCCTCTCCAGTATTGGTCCTTGTTGGTCTTGCGGTATTATGCCCTGAATATTACAAGGGGGACAGATGGGAGTGGGCAGAGCAGACAAGGAGAAGAAGAAGGGGGAAGGAGCAAAGGGTAAAAGGCCAGGCCGGCAGAAGGGGGTCCAATCTGGGGAAGTTCGTCACACACACGAAGCAGGAAAAGGCTTTCTTGCTGCAGCCGGGAACTAGTGACAGTAGGTACTTTTTTCTTTTTTGGGTGTTGCACGCGGCATGAGGCAGAATGCAGAGAACCTTGGAATGGTTTGTAGGTCTCAGGCTGGGAGAGATGGACTGGACTTGGCTCCCTATGTACGGATACGGGTACCTTGGACAACCTGGCTAAGGTACGGAGTAATAGATGCACCATGGGTTTCTTATGACGGAGTCAGATGGATCGCATCAGGCCAGAGACATACAGGAAGAGACAGAGGTATCAGAGACAAGGCCAGAAACAGCGGGAGAACCTGAGTCAATTCCAAGGTTGGTGCCCGTTTTTCGGAATCGCCAGCCATCTGGCGTAATTTTTTTTCTTCCTTGCACGCGGGAGTCAGGAACACGCGCCGGATCATTGTTGACCCCTTTGAAACCCCCTACAGATTGGCCCGATAAGGACCCCGATAAGATACAGGCAGGGTTTATCGCCGATTGTGTCCCGGGAGCAAGGTAGGGAACCCTTGGCTGATGGAGGACAGCGCCATCGAACATACAACTGCCACATGCACATGCAGACACTGGACCAGCTGGGACGCACATGTGCACCATTTGTGCTGCACCGTCCGCGCGCTTGCTCAAGCTCGCTCTCGGGGTTCTGACCGCCTCGGCCACGCCTGTCGTAGCTGCCGCCGTCCCGAGTATGCACTCTCTGCAGAGCTGTAGCCTCGAACTCGGTCCAATCTTTCCTTTCTTTTCCTACCTCCTTCTATTCTCCTGGCCTGTATTCCCGATCAATAGTCACAGGTGCTCGAGCCAATCATGAAGTTATTGTTCTCATGTTCTCCTCAACCTTCACTTACACAGCGAAGCACGTTTGAAGCTGTTCACATATCCCTTACGCGAGGTATGCAGTCATGTGTAGAGACAGCTGCGGTTTGCGCAAATGACCACGATTGGACCATCTGATTGCTCCAAAAGGTTTTTAATCTGCCTTTCACTCCCACATGAAATCGGACGCGACCGGGACATTTGACACAAGTGACGGGGACCAGGATACGAGAGCCAACGAGCCCGTTCCTCCGATTGCCATCGATTCGTGCGCATAAACCTCGGACAAGTGGATCCCGGACCCGCTCCGAACTTGCCGACAGCCAGACAGAAGTCCAAGAAGTTGCTGAATCTTGGAATCAACCACGACGGGACTTGCGTTTATTAAACGCACAGTCAGTGAAGTGGCTGTCAAAAGGTGGACCTTTGGGGTAAGACTTACCTATTCAATCCATTTAGGCACTATCGTTTTTTTTTTTCCCTCCTGCCGCGGTCCTCTTGACGCATGGCAATTCTCCGTCTATTGGTACAGCGCGGACCGCGGTAGGTCTATGCGCCTCCAATCCATCCCCAAAGACTCCAATAAAACGTGGGGGGACTTTGGGGGAAATCCCCTTATTAGCCTGGGTAAGATCTGGAGGCTATGCATAGACAACACGGTAGCGTAGGTATGGCCTAGGCCAAGAGAAGGCTCCTTTACAGTGAGGTTGCACGGAAACCCAATGCCGAAGGCTCGGAGCAGTTCAGTTCGTTGACTTCCCGTTCTCCGAGCCGCTCAAATCTACTGCCGCAGTTTCACTTCGATACACGCGCACCAACGGAGCAATTTGTAAGGTAGATGCCTAGGCTTTACCCTTTCAGACTGTAAGCCGACGTCAGTCCTCCATGGAAGAGACCTCGAGGCGAGGCTATCTGCTGCATAATAGTGAATCAAGCCTGGAGCTCCCAAGGATCCCAGCTCCCCTCGCCCTATCCGTACTCCATCCAGCCCTGCCTTACTCGTTCGAGTTCCGAGACTCCTCGTTCTTGCCAATGACCATTGTCGCCTCACAAATGGACCTGTGCTGTTCCAAACGGCCGAGCGGCCCCGATGAACCCCACGCAGTCACCAAACCCCACGCCATCCCCAGCTTGCCCGCTGATGCGCACGCCGTCTCCGTCCTGCAAATACGTCCTGTCTTGACCAGTGGACGTCTTCCAACCGACCTTGCCGCCCTTGGTCATCTCTAGCAGACACCCGTGCTCGTCATCCCCAGCTCCCGACACCGTCCCCGTCGCCAGAATATCGCCAGTGTTGAGATTACATCCATTGATTGTTTGCTGGGCCACTAGGTCGCGGAACGTCCAGTACATCCAGCTGAGCTGCGCGTTACACACCGTCGTAGCCCCGTCGCCGGTTACCACTTCAGCCTTCAAGGCGATGTTGTAACTCGATTTCTCCTTGTTGTCCAACAAGTATGGCTTCGAGGGTATATCCTTCGGAGGAGATGGTGTTGCAAAAGGCTCGAGTGCATCGAGTGTGATCACTTCAACGAAGTTAGCAAGCATTCTTTTAATCTCGAGACAGAGTAACGTCTGACTTACCCCACGGACTAATCGACGTCCCGAATGACTTGCCATTCATTGGTCCCAGCGGACTCATCTCAAATCCTTGGATATCGCGAGCTTTCTTCCATTAGCATCACTTGGACATTGACCAAGAGAATTTGGGACTCACCACTCCAATCGTTCAGCAGAACGAGGCCAAAGATGTGCTCGTCGGCATCTGTCACGGCCACGCGGTCTCCAAGCTGCGTCGGCTTCCCGATAATGCAAGCCACCTCGAGCTCGTAATCGAGTGCTCTGGAGGGACCAAAACCAATACTGTTCCCGTCACGATATTGCCCGTACGGCCGCGTGATATTCGTCCCCGAAAGTACAATCGAAGAAGGCCGTCCACTGTAGCCGATAGGGAAATATGGTGCTGCGGGTGGCATGGAGGCCTTGCCCACGACTGCCTCTGACGCATTCAAGAGATGTTCTTTGGAGCACGAGAAATCGGTGAAGCCGTCTACTTTGATTGGCAAGTGTAGCTGAACCTCGGCGATCGGTACGCCATGTTTAGACAGTGTCGATTCGTCACATAGGGTTTGTTGAATGTTCTTTCGGAAGATCCCGAGTTCGGTCTTCCCTACTGCCGCCAGGGCATTGAGGGTCGGCTTTGAGGCTGTCAGTATTCGCAAGTGAGTAGGGACAAATGGCCAGACCTGGGACAAAGCGGACTTGAGATCCGCGAGATTTGTGAGATTTAGGTCGGAAAGGAATACGACCGAGTCCCCTACTCTTGTGACTACGCCTTTTGCATGGTTCGCGTCACTGGCGATTCCGTACGGAATGTTTGCAAGGGAGAAATGCTCGGAGAAACTCATGCTGGCAGAGAAATTGATATCAATGATTGGCTTTGTGAGGTTTTCTTGGGCTATGGAAAGGTTCTGCTTGTATCGCAGCAGGCTGCATTCCTTTTACAGGTGCACGATGAAGCTCTTGGAGCTCAAATGTTTGTTTGCTAAGGTAGTTACCACCAACCTCAGCGCCCCCGCTCTCCCCCACCCCCACCGGCCCCGGATTTTAACCCCGGCCCACCAAGGTACGTAGGAGTCTCGGATTAGAGACTCGGAGCCCAGAACCCAATTTGCAAGCTCGGCACAGCTGATGATAGAGAGTGAGACGCATCGGTATTATCAATCTGCAGCTGGCTACAATTCACTCTACTTCTGGGGAATCACGGGTAAAGTGACGTAGTTCTCAAGGCCTTGGCCGAAATGAATATTGTTCAGTCCAGCGAATTTGGATGCAGGCCTGAAGAGAGAGGCTGTTAGTCTACAATCCTCAGGGGGGGAATTGAGCCAATTTGAACTTACCGGTCAACTTCTGAGCAGTGCTGGAATATTCCGCTGCCCTGGGTATCGCCGCTGCTAATCTCGAAGACGATCTTCCCGCCCTTGTCGACAACGACGTTTGTCGGCCAGACCTCGACGTCTACGCCGTAGACCTCTCCAGCCTTGACTGGCAGGACGTCTGTGGAAAGGTACTCTCTATGCGGCAACCAGGACTTGTGCTTGGGGCTCTCGTCGTGCACCTTGCGGTTGCTCACTCTCAGCCAGCCCTTGACTAGCGGCACTGGGTCGCCAGCTGTTCCGGTGTAAAAGACTTCTTGGCCCGATGGGTCAATGTGACGCAGAGTCACAAACAGGTCGATGTCGGTTTCATTTCCTGAGTTGTCTGGCGTAACCGAAACGTTTAGGTGGGCTGTGACGTGGCCTGTAATCTCCGTTTCTTGCTCAAAGGAAGCGGACGTGAAGGAGACGACTTGAGGGTTCTCCAGTGAACCCAAAGCCTTGTACGACACAGTCTTGGAATCCTGACCGGAGCCACTTGTCGTCAGACCAAGGTCAGGCGTCAGATAGAAGTTGGTGTACTCTGTGCGCGGAATTGGCCAGGCTGTCTCTTCTCGCTTAGGATACGCCTTCTCCTTCTCAGCGTCATTGAAACCGACGTTGCCCTTTCGCAGAGTGAGCGTCACGGGAGGCACCTTGCCAGGCGTGCTCCAGCCGACTCTATCTTCACCCTTCAAGAATGCATCGAGGAAACTCTTCTGCAGCTCTACCTCCTCAGGGTAGTAAAAGGGGAGATCGTGACGGCCAGTGATGAAGCGCA